TGTGACTTAAAAAAAATAAAATTTGAAAAGTCAGCACACATTATTTTCCTCTAAAGTTGATCTATCTTCTGGAATCTCATACTTAGGTCTTTATCATTATAAAATTGTCATATTTACTATGATAACATTCTTCAATGGTATTTTTTTTTCTTACCTGTTTTTTTTGTTTTGTTTTTTTTACCACTGTGGCTTTAACTGAGGAGATACACTGGTATTTAGCAAGCAGCTAAGAAATGTATTTAAATGACTGCATGGTGATTTTTTTTTTAATCTTTATTGTTGAATGTAGAATGTATTACAGATGTTCCTCATTTTTCCACCATTGACCCCCTCCTCCCCACTCCCGCCCCCCTCCCACCTTTTCCCACACTATCGTCTGTGTCCATTGGTTATGTATATAAGTTCTTTGGGTTATTTATTCCCACCCCCCAACCCCTTTCCCTTTGAGGTTTGTCAGTCTAGCAATGAATTTGTACTTCTTAATCTCTTCACCTTTTTCCCCCATTCCCCCAACCCCCCTCCCATCTGGCAACCAACAAAATGTTCTCTGTATCTATGAGAATGTTTCTGTTCTGCCTGTTCATTTTGTTTGTAGATTCCATTGTCGATAGATATGTATTCACTGCTATTTTGTTTGTTCATATAATTTATCTTTTTCTTCAAAAAGACCCTTCATCATTTCATATAATAACGGTTTGGTGGTGATGAACTCCTTTAACTTTTTCTTGTCTGGGAAACTCTTTATATGGCCATCGATTCTAAATGACAGCTTTGCAGGATAGAGTATATCTTGGTTGTAGGTTCTTGCTTTTCATCACTCTGAATATTTCTTGCCACTCCCTTCTGGCCTGCAAAGTTTCTTTTGAGAAATCAATTGACAGTCTTATGTGAACTCCCTTGTAGGTAACTAGCTGCCTTTCTCTTGCTGCTTTTCAGATTCTCTCTTTGTCTTGAACCTTTTGCATTTTGATGATGATGTGTCTTGGTGTGGGCCTCTTGGGGTTCATCTTGTTTGGGACTCTTTGTGCTTCCTGGACTTGTATGTCTGTTTCCTTCACCAAGTTAGGAAAGTTTTCTGCCATTATTGTTTCAAATAGGTTTTAGATCTCTTGTTCTCTCTCTTCTCCTTCTGGCACCCCCAAGATGGGAATGTTGCCATGCTTGAAGTTGTCCCAGAGGCTCCTTACACTATCCTCATTTTTGGAGATTCTTTTTTCTTTTCGCTGTTCTGATTGGGTGTTTTTTGCTTCCTTATATTCCAAATCAATGGTTTGCTTCTTGGATTTACGTACTCTACTATTGAATCTGTGTAAATTATTCTTTATTTCAGTTAAAGCCTCCTTTGTTTCTAACTGTGCCTCCATCATTTCTGACTGGTCCTTTTTCATGCTCTTGAGGCCCTCACTGAGTTCATTGAACATCCTTATAAGCAGTATTTTGAACTCAGCATCTGTTAGGTTGCTTATCTCCATTTTGCTTCTTTTCTTGGGGTTTTGTTCTGTTCTTTCATTTAGGACCTGTTTCTTTGTCTCCTCATTTTGGCTGCCTCTCTGTGTTTGTTTCTATGTATTAATTAACGAGAGGTATGGGGCTATCTGAGACCAGATGCTGCTTGTTTGAAAGAATTTAGGAAAAACCTGAAGCAGGATCCAAGACAGGCCAATCCTATGGTTAAACAAGTGGCAACAGCTTGGGTGGGCCTGAAAGTTGGGTGGGGCGGGGCCTCAGGGAGTCAGCAGGGTGGGGCTACCAGTGTGAGCCAGGTTGCTGGAGTCCCAGATATGGCGGCTTTCTGCCGCCCCAGGGAAGGGCTCACCAAAGGAACAAAGGCCTCTGACAGCACATCTGTCCAGGAGAAAGCCCCCTCTCCAGCCCTCGCTCTAGTGCCAAACAGCTCAGTTCTTCCCTGTGTGTCTCTGGTGCCCCTCGAGCTGCCTCCCCTCCAAGCTTAGAGGGAGAGAGTCCAATAAGTCCGTGCGCGGGCCCTTTAAGGAGCTGCCTGGGGCTCCAGCCGCCTCAGCCTCCCTGAGCCTCAGTTCCCGCTGGTTTTTCCAGCCAGAAGTGATGGGGATTCTCTTCCTGGCACTGGAACCCTGAGCGGCGCACCTGGGGACAGGGACCCCCTCAGTCCTCAGGGAGGACCTTCCCAGCCAAGGTGTCCTCCTGATTTTTATCCGCCACCCGTGGGTGTGGGACCAGCCCATCGTCTCCGCCCCTCCTACCAGTCTCGATGTGGCTGCTGCTTTAATTCCGTAGTTGTAGGACTTCCACTCAGCTGGATTTCAGGCAGTTTTGAATGATGGTTGTTCTGTAGTTCTGTTGTAACTTTGATGTGGTTGTGGGAGGACCCAATACCGCGTTTACCCAAGCCACCATCTTCTATATGGTGATTAAGTACCCAAGTCTGCAAATGGTATGCCTTTCCTTTTTATGTATGTAAGGGAACCCATCCCCAGCCCCACCCTCAGTGTTCCTGGCCAGACCCATAGAATTTCTGTCCTCTCAATAATATTAGGAAGAAACCCTTCACCCTCTTCTACCTCTCCCTTCTTCCCTCTTCCCTCTTCCTCAGAGTGGGAAAGACTTACCTAACTAGTAATTCTCAGTAAAGGGCACTAAGCATGCCTAACTCATCCCCTTTCTCTTTTGGGATCCAGCCAGTGAGACAGGCTCCCTCCACCAGCACAGTGAGCAGTGCTCCTGTTGGGGTGAGGACCACAAGCTGTCCAGCTGCCTGCCCGTGAGTGGGCGCATGCGTGTAACAAGGCAGGAGGGCAGGATTACGTCACACTCTCTGAGACTAGCCACAAGCTAATATTTCAATCCCTGACTTCAGCATCACTTTCTAAACTGTATAATAATTTAGAGGAGAAAAGTATGACCAATTATCACCCAGGGACATAAATTAGAGCAGATTATCCTTTTAATAACATAACTCCCATTTTCTGTGCTTTTATTGACTGGGAGAGAAAGAAATTGAGGATTACTCTGAGTACACTTGAATTTATATCACTCCTTGGACATTCCACAATAAAGAAACAAAACAAAACAAAAAAACCTAAGAGCTATGGGAACAAGATCTTACATTTAGGCTATTGATAGTTTACTGTCCTTACATCAAGTGGAAACATCTAATCTTCAAAATGAGAATATTCCTTGAACATATGCATCAAATCTTACTGAATATGTTTTATGCTACTCATTAAATAATTCACGTAATTTTATATAGTAAATGAATGTCTCCAAAAGTAGTAGATACCTCCTGCCTTTGTTAGGCTAAAGCCCTTTCTTTATTTTAGCTCGGAAACATATCTGAGACTCTTCTTCAAACCAAACGTTCTTTAGATTTACTCTAAAGTATACCATCAATCGCCCTGGCCGGTTTGGCTCAGCTGTTAGAGTGTCCGCCTGCGGTCCGGAGAGACCCGGGTTCAGTTCCCGCTAAGGGCATGTACCTCGGTTGCAGTTTGTCCCCGGCCCTGGTAGGTCGTGCGGGTGGCAGCCACTCGATGTGTCCCTTCACATCGATGTTTCCCTCTCTCTCTCTCTCTCTTCCTCTCTCTCCCTCCCACTCTATCTGTACAAAAAATGGAAAAATGTCCTCGGGTGAGGATAAAAAAAAAAAAAAAATTAAAGTATACCATCAATCTGCACAGAATCCATGAAAATATATGAGGATATGTGAATAAATGCTCCTGGCTTGGCTTATAAACTATCTTTTTGTTTTCTTGTATTACTGTGGGTTTGTTTTAATATATTTTTTTAATCCTCATCCAAGGATTTTTTTTTTCCATTTATTTTCAAGTATAGTGGGAAAGAGGGAGAGGGAGACATAGGGAGACAGAGGGAGACAGAGAAACATCCATGTGAGAGAGACACATTGACTGGTTGCCTCCCACAGGACCCCAACCAGGGCTGGGGACTGAACCACAACAAAGGTACGTGCCCTTGCTAGAGTCTTCGCTCCAAAGGCCGACGCTCTAACCGCTGAGCCAAACTGACCAGGGCTGTTTTAAATTTTTTTTTTTTTGTATCCTCACCCGAGGACACTTTTCCATTTTTTTTATTCAGGTAGAGTGGGAGGGAGAGAGAGGAACAGAGAGAGAGAGAGAAACATCGATGTGAAAGGAACACATCGAGTGGCTGCCACCCGCACAACCGACCAGGGCCGGGGACAAACTGCAACCGAGGTACATGCCCTCAGCGGGAACCGAACCCGGGTCTCTCAGGACCGCAGGCCGACGCTCTAACCGCTGAACCAAACAGGCCAGGGCTGTTTTAATTTTTTTTTAATTTGGCATCTTAAAAAAGAAAAATGAACCACAACCAACTTTTAGCACTAAATCAATTCTCACAAATCATATTCATTTACATTGATAGTAGCCCCAGAGTATAAATCTGCAGTAAAACGATTCATTAGATTACATAAATACTCTATCACTATTATCAGAAATCACATATATGACTCCAAGTTCACACAGTGTTCAGGTTAACTCTCCTGGTGATGTTTTTTTCTTTTTGTTAATTACCATGCTCGTTTCTGATTGAGGGGAAATCACTCGGTGTCAAGCACCACCCTAAGCTTATGTTCCAGGACAGCCGTACAACGCACGTCTCAGAACGCTGTAGGCTGACTCCTCGCTGGCTACACAGTTACAGGAGAGGGCAGGCGCCATGGAACATGCCAGACCTGTGTTCAACCTGCCTACCAGTGGCGGGTAACATACATAACCGGTATGCGCGTCCGTTTTCTCATCTGAAATTAGAGATGATAAATCGTATAGAGTTTTAAACTCTATAAGAAGAAAACAATATGTGAGAAAAAAATATATGAGAACCGTCACACACCGCAGAGGTACAAGAAATGGCAGTTGTCCTAATCAGTCTCCACCACAGTTCTAACACGGATGAAGAGACCACGAATTCATGGCATTACTGTAACAATATTTATTTAAAGAGACACTGAATAATACATTATATTCAGTTTCAAGTCAACTTACCGAGACAGGAGTACAAACCCTGACTTATCCAAGCCAATATGGCAAGTGTTATAAGGTCACCAAAACTAGCAGCAATGGGTGTAGCAACATTATCAGGGTTTATTCCAGTCTTCTTTGAACCAACGATAACCCCCACCATTATTATTCCTAGAAGAAAGAAAGCGCATTACTTATATGCTATGATTTTAAAGACAATCAGCCCCCGTAAATACTGAAATACACCAGGCTAGAAAACAGCTCACGAATCCCAGTGAGACTGCTTAGATGACTAACCCAATCAAAACATTTGATGCTAGTGCTCTGGCAAAATGCTTCTCAACATTCCAAGTGGGAAATCATGGAAGATTTGCCTTTAGATACCTGAAAACCTCCTGTAAAATAACACTGAAGCTAAAGTTTCAAGTTAGTAACCTGTATGTCTTAGATATGATGCGTTTATATGTATCAAACCCAAAGGGTTTTATTTTAACCCTCAAATGATGCATGAAAATATCAGAGAAAGGTAAGTCATATTTATATGCATAGCAGCTGGGAAGAATACCAATAAAAACAGATTTGTTTACATAGTGGTAGCCAGAAATATTTGCTTCTTTTTATGATGTAAGAGTATTGAAATATTAAGAGGAAGAAAATAATTAAATTTTGAACGTAAGGCCAGAAGCTGTCTTTGTAAAGGATAGTCTCTCAATCCAAGGTTTTCTGTCTAGGAACCTACAATTAAAGAATAGAAGATGAGTCCGGCCAGTGTGGCTCAGTGGTTGAGCATCGACCCATGCACCAGGAGGTCGCCAGTTCGATTCCCGGTCAGGACACATGCCCAGGTTGTGGGCCTGATCCCCAGTAGGGGACATGCAGGAGGTGGCCAATTAATGTTCTCTCTCATCTATGTTTCTATCTCTCTCTCCCTCTCATTTCCTCTCTAAAATCAATAAAGGCAAAAAATTAAAAAAAAAGAATAGGAGATGAAAATGTGACTGTGTACTTATACCTTTAAAACCATATTTTCCTGAATGATAGAAATGGGAGAAAAATGATAACGTTCATATCCACACTGAATTGAGTAAGCATTCTCATGCCAACACGTTCATTAAAAGGATGCAGTGGAGAGTCAATGTAAGATTAGTTCACTATGTGCTAATAAAAAATCAATATGGAAACCTAAATATTGCTATTTAAAAAACAAAACAAAACAGGATCTCACAGCATTTTTAGATTGGAAATGACTCTAAATGATTTTCTTCCAGCAAATTCATGTTATGGATAATAAAACTAAAGTTTACATCTTGCCTAAGGTCACACAGATTGTATCTCCAATCCGATGTTTTTCCTACTTTGCCAGAAAGCCAAAGTTATTAAAAGTAGAACTTCTGCCTTGCTTGTCTCATATCTTATATTCTGGAGTCTTTTTTAATCTATGGACTTACCTTTCCCATAATATCAATGAAGAACAAGAAAAGCAACATCAGAAAAACTTTTTAAATGCATTATGCAATAATCAATCAAGATTGATCATATTGATCATATAGAATTGTTTTTTCAAAATCAGTTCATTTAAAGATCCATATGAAGAGTTCTGTGACAGAATGCCATCTATATCAGTTCAGCTGAAGAAACTGTTTTACCATCATGGACCAATAGAAAGAGCTGGGAGTCAGGAAATAGGGTTTAATTCTGATTATTCTGTAAAAAGCTGATAAAACTGGACAAGTCAACTTACGTGAGTCAGTTTTCTCACCTACAAAAGGTGGTTAATAGTATCTGCTCTATTTATATTAATGTGGTTATAAAAGTCAAGGTATCATAAAATGAGAACATATTATTCAGAGTAAGAAGTATTAAACAAATGTATTTTAATATGATTTTGAAAACTGCAGGCAACACATAACCTGCTAAGCTGAAAATTTTTAAACAATTCTTTCTATATGAAACAAAAGCAGAGAGAAAAACAGAAGCAAATGAACCTCAATAAAGTGCTAATGCTTTAACATTTTTTTAACCAGAAATTGATTTTCTAATAGCTTAACTTCACTCTCCTTTGGTCAGTGTTGACTCTATTCAATTCTAATGATTCTACATACAGTCATACATCGCTTTCTGACAGGGATCCAGTCTGAGAAACGCACCATTCGGCGATTTCGTCCTTGTGCGAACATCACACAGAGTGTACGTGTACAAACCTAGATGGCAGAGCCTGCTACACCTAGGCCGTATGGTACAGCCTGCTGCTCTCAGCTACAAGCCTGTACAGCATGTGACTGTACAAAACAACCATGAGATCAAATCAGGCACAAGAGAAAATGATGCCATTGGAACACGGTAAACATGAGATGTATGAGACTGTTCCCCAAGAAACACACCATATGGTTTTACAGTAATTTTTTAATAAGTAGAAAGAGTAGATGCTAGCCCTGGCCAGTTTGGTTCAGCGGTTGGAGTGTCGGCCTGCGGTCCAGAGAGACCCGGGTTCGGTTCCCGCTAAGGGCACGTACCTCGGTTGCAGTATGTCCCCGGCCCTGGTTGGGTCGTGCGGAAGGCAGCCACTCGATGTGTCCCTTTCACGTCGATGTTTCTCTCTCTCTCTCTCTCTCTCTCTCTCTCTTTCTCCTTTCTCTCTCTCCCTCCCACTCTATCTGAACAAAAAATGGAAAAATGTCCTCAGGTGGAGGATAAAAAAAAAAAAAAAGAGTAGATGCTAAAATGATGATAAATAATATGGTAAATTATTTACTATAAACCAGTAACAGAGTCATTTATTATCAGTATCCACATTGTGTACCGTACATTATTGCACGTGCTGTACTTTTATATGCCTGGCAGCCCAGCAGTCCGTCTACGCCAGCATCGCCACAGACACGCACTGTGCTAAGACATTACAATGACTATGACATCACTGGGCAATAGGAATTTTTCAGCCCCAGTATAATCTTATGGGACCACCACTGTATATGCTTCACCGACTGAAACATCATTAAGCAGTGCATGACTGTATAGACAAGAAACTACCCTTAATATAACTTAACTACTAAAACAAAATGCTTGAAAATATTTTAGGAGTCTTAATTATAATTAAATTCTCTAAATTCTGGGATAGAGCCCAACCAAAAAGTTAACTTCATTATATGACCACCTGACATGAGAACCTTCTATTTTTAACTCTGCTGGTGATATAAGGGTGAGAAGATGACGATTATTTAAAAAAAAAAAAAAAAATTCTTTATTATTATGATTTGATAATAATCTAGTTACCTGGTATAAAGTTCATATTAATAAATATTGTTAAATGATGTCCCAATGGAAAGTTTCTAATGTAGTTAATTTTTTACAACTCTGGCTCTTCCAAATTCAATAGCCAGCAATCTGCAATGTTAAGCTTATGGTTATATTTGTATAGCCACAGAGATAGTGCAGAGTTTTCTTTGAAATCTGAAACTTGAAAAACTTTCAACAGAGAGACTGTTTTTGGAACTCCAGATTCTTGGAATCCTTGTTACCCAACTGACAAGCCAGTCAAAGCCTCAGCATGATTTCCAGGAAGGAGTTTTTCAATTAGGTTAACTTAAGAGAAACAAATGAATAGCTAAGCTATTTTCCTGATCTTGTCTGGGAATTGAACCAGGGTACCTAAGGCCAGGAGGCAACTCAGAAAGCCTGTTCTACACTCAGGTTTACAGATAACAGATAGAAAGGGTATCTGAAATAAGATCTTTTAAAAGTTTGTAGACAACTTTTTTTTTTTTTTTTTATGACCATGCATCATTTAAATAAAAATAGGCATAACCTTGGGAAACGAAAGTAAAGGACTGCGAGAGCAGACGTCTGTAAACCCACTCACCCTGCAGAAGAGACGCAATGAAGGCGGTTGCCACGCTGCTGGAGCACAGAAGTATGGAATGATCGAGGTAGTATTTTCCCTCCGGAATCCAGCCCAGTATAACTGCTGCCACGGCTGCCAGAAAACCAACGACTGTTGCTTGAACCTAAAAATATATACATATTTCATAAAATCCAATGGATTTATTCATTCCGAAAACACGTCTTTAAATCTGATTATATAAATATGCATACAAGATGTCAGAAGAAAGTACTGCTATTGGCAATTCAGCTGCCTCACCTTTCAGAGAAGCTACCATATTTTAGTTTTAATGTTCCCTAAGGATGTGGGTACTCAAACTGCCCAGATCTGGTGGCCATGGGTATGGAACAGGATCCAGAGATCTGTTTTTAACAAGCACCTCAAGCGACTTTGATGATATAACCCACAGATCATCTAATAAAAGACCAACCTTAGGGCCGAAAAGTATACAACCCACAAAATGAAAGTCTGACCCTAGTGGCAGTGTTGGCTAGAGACTGGGTTTTCATGATCCAATGATAAGAGTTTGGCTCCTGGCTATACCACCTAATTTTGTGGCAAATTATTCAAATTAATTCACACAACAATTATTAACTTAGCATCTTCTATGTACCAGGCTCTATGCTTGGTGTTGGGCTACAACAGTGGTCAAAATAGTTTTATTCCCTGCTCTCACAGAGCTCTTGATCGGTGGAAGAGACAGACATCAAATAATAAACTTGCACATAATCACAATTGTAATGAAGGCTATAAAACTTTAGTTCCTAATCTGAAAAATGACAATAATAATACTGAACTTGAAAGGGTTATTTTGAGATCTAAATGAATTACATTAATATATAAAGTGCTTCCCACAGCGGTGGCATAAAGCAACACTAAAAAAAAAAAAAAAAATTAGCAACTAAAAAAAAGTAACACTGACTGGGAACTCTTAGAATTGTATTAGTAAAATGTCAGAACAAAAGAAACCCTTTGGGAATCATCTGGTTTACTGACTCTTAACTGCCTTTGTGTCATGGACTCCTTTGACAATCTGATGAAAATGAGATTCCGCACTGAGTAGGATTTCTGGGTGCCCACGGATTCTATGAAGCTAACCCATGGACTGGAATCCAGGGCTCTGGGTAAAAAGGAAAGATCTAATCCCGTCATACAGTAAAGTAACAGAAGAGCCAGAGCTGGCGAGTCCTGAGCCCAGACTCCCGCCCCATGGCGTTCCATCAGCTCCTGTTGATGTCACCCACAGGTTCAGAGCTGGGAGGCAAGCGGTCAACATCATTATGGCTGTACAGTGTCACAACATGTCAGCATTTTCACACTGGTGAGTAAATAATATAATATGTAAAAGCAGTAATAAAATCCATTACTAGCGTCAATTCTAGCACTGTGATTCCAAGTTTTTCTTGGAAATAAAATACAGAGCTAAGGAGCCTATGACAGACTTGCTGGCATGTACATATATGTATATATGGGAATGGAAGCACACAGCTGAGATAAGGAAGTCCTAGTCTGTAAGCCTGCAAAAGAAATGCCTAACTGTATCCAAGAGAAGAGCTAAGTCTGGGTTCAAGGAGTAGCTGGGGAGGGAAAGGGGGCCATGGGCCTAACTAGACTGCGTGCAGGGCTCAGCCCTCCTGGTGAGGCGAGGGTTCTTCACTGGGATTGGAAGCTTTGCTGTATTCGACAATATACACACTTGTCTAGGCAGCCTCCCTGTACCACTGTTAAGAGATCTGTAACAGGTACTCTGCGTGGGATCCCATTCCATAATCAGGAGAGCACACACCCCAGTTCATGGGGGCGTGTGCCTGCTCTGACCTTTCCATCCGTCCCCGCCTCTACCCTCTGAAGACAGACACTCAGAGGAGCCTTTGCTAGCCTGTCCTGTTCCCTCCCCATGCTCATCTCCTCCACAGGCTTTACTAGATGAAGCCTCAGGGAGAGCACGACACCCCCAACCTGCCCTTCTTTTCTTCTCCCTCTGCTTCTGTCCACAGGGAACGGGGCCCCAGCCAGGTGCTGCCACACTAGCTGGCACCGAGTGTGTCCTGATGGGCCTGTGTGGGTTCCGTTCCTCATACATCCTTGGTGGAGTGAGACAGACACAGACTTCAGGCCATGGCAACTGGGATCAGTGAGTCCCCAGCCATCTCTGGCTCCAATACTGACCACCAGTTGCAGGGAGAGAGGATGACAAGGGAAGGACTCAGACTGTGAGTGGATGGAAACAGGAAAAGCTGAGATAGAAATTATTACACTAATTTGATGAATAATTTCTACTACAATTCATACTGCTTGGTAAGAGTTTAGGATGTTTAAAAGATAAAGTAAGTATATTTTCAAATTTGTATTTGTAGATTATAGTATTCTACGGGTTGGTATATATTTTTATTATCATCCCTGCACAGATTCCTACAGTTTCAAGCTGAAAAGGATCCCAGACATCTCTAATGAAATACTGTGACTCAAAAGAAGAGGAAATGGTCCAGCCAGTGTGGCTCAGTGGCTGAGCATCAACTCATACACCAAGAGGTCGCCTGTTCAGTTCCTGGTCAGGACACATGCCCAGGATGTGGGCCCGATCCCCAGTGGGGGGCATGCAGGAGACGGCCAATCCATGTTCTGTCTCATTGATGTTTCTACCTCTTTCTCTCCCTCTCCCTTCCTCTCTCTCTAAAACCAATAAAGGAAAAAAAAATTGTTTAAAAGAAGAGGAAAATGAAATCCAGAAAGGGTAAGTTAACAAAGGTTATATAGCTGGTTAAAGTTAGAGCTTAAATTAAATATTAGATACCAGATTTCCTTATCTCTAACCCTGTTATCTTAGAAGTAGTTGCAAGGATATTTTTTTTAAAAGTCTAATATCCAGCCCTGGCCGGTTTGTCTCATGGACCAATGAGTTGCAGGTTCAATTCTGGTCAAGGGCACGTACCTCAGTTGCGGTTTGTCACCGGCCCTGGACAGGGTCATGCGAGAGGCAACCTGTCAATATGTCTCTCTCAAGTCGACGTTTCCCCCCCCCCCCCGCTCTCTCTCTCTCTCTCTCTCCAGATAAACAGAAAAATGTCCTCAGATGAGGATTGAAAAAAAGAAAAAGTAAAAGTGTACTATCCAAAAATTCCTATATTTCTTTGCCTCTGAAATGCAATATATGAATTACTTTTCTGCAACCAATGTTCTCAACATTATGTCCTAGCTGACCTAACAGTAAGATAAGTAAGCATTTCCTAAGCTCACATTTGCTAGAGTATTGGGAGTTGTATCCTTGTATCTTGGAGATACAAGAAGGTGGAGGGAAAGAAAGAGATATTCAGCTGAGAATGGAAAGAACTATAGAGCCCTGGCCAGTTTGGCTCAGCGGTTAGAGCATCAGCCTGCGGTCCAGAGAGACCCGAGTTTGGTTCCCACTAGGGGTGTGTACCTCGGTTGTAGTTTGTCCCTGGCCCTGGTTGGTCGTACGGGTGGCAGCCACTCAATGTGTCCCTTTCACGTCAATGTTTCTCTCTCTCTTCCTCTCTCTCCCTCCCACTCTGTCTGAACAAAAAATGGAAAAATGTTCTTGGGTGAGGATTAAAAAAAAAAAGAAAGAACTGTAGATAATTTATATATATTTCATGGTTTAGTGTTTATGTAAATGACAATTATATATGTAACTAATAATTATATTTAATTATATTTAATGTGTTCATTTACATTAACACTAGTAACATTGTCAAATTAAGGAAAACTCAGCTTTAAAAAAATCTGTCCATAATATAAAAAAAAGAGCTAAGTTACATTAAATAAGAGCATTTACATAAAAAACAAAGTAGAAAAATAGTACCTAAGCAATGAAGTGCTAAATATTTATTTGTATAGATATTAACTCAAATTCTGGCTCTACTACACACTTATGATAGAAAATATTTTGTATATTATATATTTTTTATATTTAGAAGAACATGATCAATTTCTAGAGAAAGAACACTTTCAAAATCATGGATATTTATTTATTCTAGCCCTTTCTCCCAGTACTAAATTATCGTTTTGGGTCCCCTGAAAAAATTAAGTGGTATACTTAACTAAAATGTATTCTTATAGGTAACACCCAAGATCTGTAAACCCAAAATCTATAAACAAATATGTGTATCACTTACCTGTTTTAAAGCCAAGTTGCCAATTATTAGGTTCCACTTTTCAATGGGTGAATCCATCTTCCCAACATTTACCTGTTAAGATGGATATTTTAATGCATCAGTGAGCAATCTATATGCTCTCTATTCTGTTTAAACAGTATGTAAAGTCTTAAAGTCAAAAACAATTCTTTAGAAAATCTGATGAGCTCACATTGCACTTTAAATATAATTCTGAATTCACTACTGGTCTTGCATCTTACATTCAGCTTGCCTGAGATGTTTAAGAATTTTTTTTCCCTTAATTACCAACTCACAAGAACTAGTTAGTGTACTAGCTACTACTACCCACCTGCCCAGTGATATTATTTTCCAAACCGTCAAGTGCATCCTACAGGCCAAATTTTGTGCACTTAGGCCCAATATAAATACATAATTTCGAGCTGTTAGCATCTAATTCCACATCATGAAACCAATGTAATTTGAAGAATTATTGACCAAACAACCCAGATATAAACAAATCATTCATATGTACATAATTTATATTTGAGTCATGACTAACACTGCTAACAATAAAAAATTCATTCAGTTCAATCAATATGAATTTTGATCATGTATCTCTCTCTCTCTTTTTTTTTATCCTCACCCGAGGACATTTTTACATTTATCTTCAGATAAAGCGGGAGGAAGAGAGGAAGGAAGAGAGAAAGAGAAACATCCATGTGAGAGAGACACATCGACTAGTTGCCACCTACACAACCCCAACCGGGGCTGAGGACAAACTGCAACCAAGGTACACGCCCTTAGTGGGAACCAAACCCAGGTCTCTCTGGTCTGCAGGCTGATGATTTAACCGCTGAGCCAAACTGGCCAGGGCATGTATCTCATTATTAATGTTTATACATCTTTCTGCTAAATGGAAGAATATACTATTATTCAAATATTTAATTACACTATAAACTAAATTATACTTTTCAATTACTTAGGATTGAAAAAATATTCACATCTGACAAGTTTTTCTGAGGTAGTATTTTTTAAAACAATGAGCAATAATTATAAATACTAAGTTACCCTAGCTAGTGTCACTCAGTGGTTAGAGCGTCAGCCCACACATTGAAAGGTCTCGGGTTCGATTCCTGGTCAAGGCACGTACCTGGGTTGCAGGTTCAATCCCTGGCCCAGTTAGGGCATGTGAGGGAGGCAACCAATTGATGTGTCTCTCTCACATCAATGTTTCTCTCTCTCTCTCCCTCTCTCACTATCTCTCTCTCTCCCTCTCCCTCCCCACCTCCCTCTCTCTCTAAAAACCAATCGAGTATTATCCTCTGATGAGAACTAAATATATATATAATAATGAGCCAGGTTTCAATCATTCATCATCTGCTTGGTCATGGAAGATAGGTGAATGAGTAAAGCGGAAAATATAATATATAAGGGTTATTATTTATGGGTATTCTAACTATGGTCAAACTGGAGTTTCGCTCACTGGCTCCAGACCATTAGGTAAGTGCTACATCAACATTTCCTGTATCAATCTAGAAAACAGATTCTGTTCTCTAACCTCACCCGGGACTGCCTTCGCAAAGTATCCAGCAAATGCAAATATTAATATTTCTCAGTGTTTTATAACAATTATTCATGCTCTCTTGATTTGTATACTTCTTTCCTAAGCCTAAAAACCTGAATTATTAGTAGCACTATTTAGAACTTTACTTTCTCTTTATTTTAGAAGTTTTTACAATTTGAATTGAAAGTCCAACTTCACATGACTAGGGATATAGGTTTTGCCAACTTCTTCAAATCCTCCCACCGAAATGTAAGCTCAGTGACAGCAGGAACAGTCTCTATGTCATTTGTTGCTATTTCCTAACACACAGAGCAGTGCTTGGCATATAGTAAGGTCTCAAACATATTTTTTAAATTAATGAATTAAAATGGTAGAATAGAAGTTACAAAATAATTTCAGAGCATCAAGAGTTTTCTGGGAAGAGGTTCAGGGCAACAGAAATCAATTCTGCCTAGAGTGGGAAAGTGCTCATCAAATTGTGTTAGGCAATTTGCTTCTGAAAAATAGTTTTACAGGCTTTATTGAAAATACAATCTTTAGGACAGTGGATGCCATTTTGACTCTTTTATATCTAGCATTCAGAAGCAGAAAATTTTAGACCTCAGATAATAAAACTTAAACCCAACAATCTATAGAACCACTGTACTTGGCTTATTTTCAAATTCCATACCACTGTTATATATCTATAACAATGTCAACTATAATAGATATCGACTGTTGAAAAGATAAAAATCCAGGTAAATTATTCAAGTTAATTTTTTTTTTAATCCTCACCTGAGGATATGTTTTTACTGACTTTTTAGAGAGAATGGAGAGACAGACAGACAGACAGAGATAGAGACGGAGACAGAGAAACATTGATTGGTGGCCCCCCCACACACCGGTACACGACCTGACCATGGGATTGAACCATAACTCAGGTATGTACCCTGACCGGGAATCGAACCTGCAATCTTTCTGGTATACAGGACGACACTGCAACCAGCTGAGCCATCTGGCCAGTGCACAGATAAATGTTGACTCAAGTAAGAGGGCCAAATAAAGTTGATTTGGATTCATCATTATTTAATTTCCCTTGTTAAAATAGGAAACCTTTTTTATCGACATATCTTTTTTTTTTAATCCTCACCCAAGGATATTTTTCCATTTTTTGTTCAGATAGAGTGGGAGGGAAAGAGAGAGAAACATCGATGTGAAAGGGACACGTCGAGTGGTTGCCACCTGCAAAACCCAACCAGGGCCAGGGACAAACTGCAACCAAGGTACATGCCCTTAGCGGGAACCGAACCAGGGTCTCTGTGGTCTGCAGGCCGATGCTCTAACCGCTAAGCCACACCAGCCAGGGCTCAACATATCTTTTTATCTGTGAACATTTAATCTATAGCTTTATAAAATGACCAGTTTTAAGGACAATTAACCTTCAGGGGATTGAGGGAGTAAGCTGTATCTGATCTTGTTTTAAGTTCTTTATCTTTATACTTTCCCAAGGCCTTCCTTTAATCCTATAAGCTCATTTATCTTGATTCTCCTACAGATAATCATAAAAATGAGAAAAGACCCTTTAATAGAGCAAAAAAAATTAAGTATAGATTGGCCTTCTATAGATAAAATTATTTTTACTCCTACTTTAACAAGTGAAAGATAATACTATGTAGGAAAACTATAAAATTTTAAAAATGATTATTTTTACACATAGATGAAAAGGCCGATTACCAAATAGTGCTTGTTTTAAATTAAAAAAATCATTACACCCATTCACCCTTCCCCAGGGCGTACAGTTAGGAATCAGCCACAGCAGTTCCAACGGGACAACAGGCAGCCAGGTTAACCTGTGGCAGGTAGGGCATCAGAGAAAGGGAAGAGGGATTCATTGTGGAACTGACAGTCTAGACAACTAGATGGAGAGGAGATATGAGGTGATTGGCTGTGTTAATAAACTGATAAGAAATACAGGTAAAAGAGACTGGCTGGAGAAAGAGACAACATAAGTTTAGTTCTGAACGTAGTGAGTGGTGCAGACCATTGAAAATTCAGCTCTCAAGTGGCCTGGTGAAGGTGGGGTGGGGGATTAGGTGAAGCACGCGAAGGGATTGAGAAGTACAGATTGGTATTTACAACAGTCGAGGGGATGTAAAATACAGCGTGGGGAACATGGTAAATAATACTGTAGTAACTGCACCGGGCCCGGTGGCTACTGGAACTATCAGGGGGAACACTTTGTAAAGTATATGGTTGTCTAACCATGCTGTACACCTGAAACCAATACAAAATAGTATTGAAAGTAAATTACAATTGAAAAATAAAAAATAAGTAAATAGAAAATTCAGTCTGGAGCTCAGGAAAGAGACGGGAGACAGGTTTGAGCAACGCATGAGCAACGTTGAACTATATGAAATTACTGACCGAGTACACTTAGAACAAAGTACTAAAACTAAGGAAACCTCAAGTCAAAAGGACAAGCAAGGAAAAAGAAATGAAAAAAGTAGTCTAAGCAGCAGCAATGAAAGAGGTGGGAGAATGAGGAGAGTGTGAGGCCTCAAAGTTGAGGGTAATCTAAATGTCAAGGAGAGAACTCTCAGTGAAGAGTCTATAGAGAGTGAGACTGTGGGGATTTTGCTATTAAAAAGCCATTAAAAAAAAAAAAAAAAGCCATTAATTCCTGGCCAGATTGGCTCAGCAGTTGGAGCACTGGCCTGCAGACTGAAGGGTTTCAGGTTCGATTCCTGTCAAGGGCATGTACCTGGGTTGCAGGTTCAATCCCAGGCCCTGGTTGGGGTCATGCAGAAGGCAACCTATTGATGTGTCTCTCACATCAGTGTTTCTCTCTCTCAGTCACTCCCTCCCACTCTGTCTGTAAATCAATAGAAAAATATCCTCGGGTGAGGATTAAAAAAATAATAAAAAAAGGCCCTGGCCGGTTTTTCTCAGCGGTTAGAGTGTCGACCTGCAGTTGGGAGAGACCTGGGTTCGGTTGCCACTAAGGGCACGTACCTCAGTTGCAGTTTGTCCCGGCCCTGGTTGGGTCATGTGGGTGACAACCCCTCAATGTGTCCCTTTCACATCGATGTTTCTCTCTCTTTCTCTCCCTCATACTCTATCTGAACAAAATATCAAAAAAATGTCTTCGGGTGAGAATTAAAAAAATAAATAAAAAAGAAGCCATTAATCTGGAGTTGCTCTATCAGGGGCCAGAGCATCAACACTGGAGTACAGCTGCTAATCACTCTGCAGCATGCTATAAAAATAGTAGGACTCTGCCTAGCAAACAAGATCAAATTCTCTAATCAATGACAACACCATAAACCAGATGAATATACCATATTATCACAGCTTGATGCCACAAGTGACTACTTCTCCATCTACTAATATGTTTACTTTTACCCTTCTGAAATCCAGGAAAAAAATCAAGTGGCTACTCCTGGTCTTTTAGCTGTTTCATCTGCCAATTCGGTCATCTGTCTCTGAAAATAAGTTCTGGACTCCAGCTATGTCTCACTACCATCCTGGTCCAAGCCAAATGTCATCTCAA